GGGTTCTAAATTTACTATAGAATTCATAATTCGTCTTAGTTACTAGGTTCGCAATTAAATATTTATACATATTTAATAAATTTTCTAGTACAAATACAATGTTTAAGCAAAACTGACTGGGTTCGGCTGAACCCGCATCTGATAGGCTAGCTCCGCCTGTGCGGGTGAGGTTATTGAAAGAAAAGATTGGCAAAAAATGAAAACGAATTATGTCGCAATCAGATATCGGATAGTTAGTAATAGTACTTAGATTTTTATTTTCAATAACGAAAAAGAAGAGGAAGTAGAAAAAGAAAAAATGGTCATTGTAATTAGGAGAAAAATGCCAAAAACAATGATGCAGTACACACTAGGATATCAGCAAGTAGGTTTATAGGGTGTGGAGAATTTAGGAAAGAGTAGGCTGTGGCCATTAATGTGATTTGTATCCAACAAAATTTAATTCAACAGCCAGCCATTTCAGCCGCGTGCTTCTTCATTCTGTAGGTTTTTGGTATTTGAGCTTTGCCCCCAAAAAAAGTGGTCCAAATCTCTCGACTTTTAGTCCTCATAAATGTCAGTACTCTTCGTTCTAACGTGCCGTATGGATCCTGGGAGTTCGTATGGACCTATGGGTACATCACACTCCCTTGGGGGTACGGTTCCTTCTCGAATCCTGCCTGAACGCGAAATATTTTCTACACCAGATTGCCCTTTTAATTTATTTTTCTTCAGTCCAATATCAATATATCAAATTTTCAGACTGCCCTAATCTGTCTTTTGGACCCCTAATGTCCTCAAATAACAACAGTTTCTATTGTTGCATGGCGGCACTACATTCTTCTTTCCTATTTGTACGTCAATCTGCAACACTGGACCTAATGCCCCTGTTCTGAGGATTTGGTTGTGACCTTATGGAGTGGGTTGGGACAAGGATTCTTGGGTATTTGGCTCTGACTTCAATTGCAATTTGCTATTAATAAAGTCATTAATTGCATGTTAAAGCTTGGTCAGCATAATTATTTGCAAATATTGAACTAACATATTTGAGATAACAACGACAATATACCTAGTAAAATCTTATAAGTGGAGCTTGGAGAGGGTAGTGTATACGCACACCTTACCCTTACCTAGTGAAGATAGAGAGCTTATTTCGGAGAGACCCTCGGCTCACGAAAACATATTTGAAATGCTGATGAAATATTAAAAACATTGTTCGATGAGTATTTCAAGTGCTACAGAAGTAACTGTATTCGCACACAAAATTCTTGACTTAACGCAACTTCAACTTCTAAATACTCTTTTTCAACTTCTAACAATTAATATTCTCTATTTTTAAATCCAAAAAGCAAAATCTATCTTCCCTTTTTCTGTCTACAAGCATTCTTGACATTATTTTTCTGTCTAGGAAGACATAGCCTTGACCCAATTTCAATTGTGGTTATAGAACTTATTTTTTATGTAATAATGCCAAAATATAGCATGTAATTCCACGTTCAACAGCATATATAAATGAATCCATAAAGATAATGTGGTGGGCATAGCTTCCGCCTTTTGGGGGTAAATACACATAGTATATTTGTAATAATAATTGAATGCAAATGGATGATATGATGGACCAATTAATAATCAAACATGGGACCGCCACACTAGACCCTTTTGTGTATATATATATTAAGAATTTTAACTTTATGGATTCTGAATTTTAGTATACGAATTCAAGTGTTAGTGACTAGGTTCTGAATTCAATATTTGTACATATTTAATGAATTTAAACACCAAATACACTGCACCGTAGTTCGGCTTGCCCTCGGCTCCCGCATATATATTTATTCGCAAAAGCAGTTTAATAACCAAGAGATCACAATTAAAATTGTGGTGCTGAGAGTTTGCATACCAACAGTTACATAGACATTACTGTTCAATTGGGCTTTGTCTGCTCCCTTGCTAGTTATGTACAAAAATGAACTCATGTCACAACGTTCAAATAATTCCTAAATCTTAGTCAAAAACCTGAGAAAAAAGTATAAATCGTAGTATAAAAGGGAACACATAATTGTTTAGCTAGTGATTTGAATGGATTAATTCTTGAAGAAGGATAGATTATCGAATAATATAAAAAATTATTGGACCCTTAAAGAATTGGTTTTTCAAAGTTCATTAATTATGATTGATAGAACGCCCATATGGAGTACTATTTATTTGGCTTAGTGCCTTTGTATTTTGTCTGCTACCTTGGAGTAACATCTCCTTCTCATAAGGAGTTTTGGGGAGAAATTCAAAAATATCTAGATTTACAAGTGGCCATTCAAAAATAGCCACAGTTTTAAAAGTAATTGAAATTTAGCCACTTTTCATGTAAAAAGAAATCTGAACGAAAACATTGTTCAAAATTCGAAAAATACTCTAGCATAATATACTGGAGTTTCAGCATAAGTATACTGGAACTCCAGCATAATATACTGGAGTTCCAGTATAATATACCGGTCCAGTATAATATGCTGGAAGTTCATACACAGGTGCTTCAATCTCCAGTATATTATGTTGGAACTTTCCGCGTGTTGGAGTTCCAGCATAATATGCTGGAAGTTCATACACAGGTGCACCGATCTCCAATATATTATGCTGGACCAGTCCCTATTGCAGCAAAATAGTGGTTATTTTTCATTGAGTTTGCAAATGCTGGCTATTTTTGAATGACCAATCCGAAAACTGGCTAGCCCGTGCTAGTTTATTTCTAATAGGGCAACATGTGCTTCATATGTTTGTACACTCTTCTTTTGCAGTGCACATAAAATAGAATTGTTTGTACACTCATCTTTTGTAGTGCACATAAAATAGAATTGTCTTATCTATCTAATCACTATCTCAATATGAATGACTTGTCATTCAGTTGGCCTCGTGTACTTGTCCTTTCAACAGTTTAATATCACTAGAGTATTTCAATGGGGAAAAGTTTGATTTTGAAAGTTAGATTCCTTTAATAATTTGTCCAATGTGATTCCTTCTTTAAAGTTATGAAATCTCGAATTACGATTGAGAATTTAATTATTCTTTTAATAGGGAGAAAAAATGGGAAAAGGGGAGAGAGAAAAAATGGGGAAAATTGAAACTTAATACATTATTTTGTATATAAATGATAAAATATGTATATGAAATTTAATTTAGTGATTATTTATCTAAAAAATGTAAATAAATTTATAATTTAGTATAGATATGTAAAAGTTCCTTCCTATTAGGGGAATTTATTTATCTACCTTATTTTATAAGATTGATTTAGAAACTTTTGCCAAATGACGATTACAGCACATAGCCAAGTTTGCTCCCATTAATGTGAATCTGAAAGCTACTCAATCCTATAAAAAACTCTCACATCTTCTAGCTTACTCTCTCCCCACACTGTGTACAAGTCCACTCCCATCAAAAAGAAAGAAAAGAAAATTAACCTAAATAACAGTCCATCCAACCACATTTTATATATCGACTAAAAAAATAAATAATATATTCAGCCGGCTATTTGTGTGAAGATTCAGAAAGAAAAGGCTGCAGTGGCCCATTTTGTACCTATAGCCCAATTAAAGACCATACATAAAAACTACACTAAAACAGATGTCAAAATATATAAAGCTAACTCAATCTATGACATGAATTATCCTTTTTGAACATTAATGTTCCATAGCCAACTAATTCTCCATCTTGAATTGTTAAAACTCAACAACCAAGTTTGCAATTAGATTGTCAATACCTTTACTCCAAAAAAGTTGCAGTCTTGCAGAAACACGTATATCCAACATTAGAAAACTTGAAAAAATAGCTATGAGCTCCCAGTTTGCTGTTAACTTTGAGATGTATATAATTGAGTCAATGAGGTTACAAATTTTTCAGATCATATAAGATCAGAAGTCTTACTCGTTGGAAAGTAGAAAGGAAAAAGATTCTACTTACGAGGAGTTGGATACGTGTGAGGCCTTTCGGGGGAAAATCGTGTGGGTTTGACCCAAAGCGGACAATATCAACAATGTTAAGAGTATATTCGGGTCGTTTTAGCCCAACATTACTTTGGTTGTACGTGTGTCCTAATTTGATCGGGTAAATTTTAAAAATAGCCAGATTTACAACTGGTTGTTCAAAAATAGCCCAATTTCAAAAGTAATCGAAATTTAGACACTTTTTATATAAAGATAAATCTGAGTGAAAACACAGTTCAAAACCCGGAAAATACTCCAGTATATTATGCTGGAGTTCCAGCATAAGTATACTTGAACTCCAGCATATTATACTGGAGTTCCAGAATAAGTATGCTGGAACTCCAGCATAATATGATGGAGTTCCAGCATAAGTACACTAGAACTCCAGCATAATATACCGGAGTTCCAGCAAGTATATTGGTCTAGTATAATATACTGGAGTTTGGAGCACCGGTGCTCCAGTCTCCAGTATATTATACTGGAGCCAGCAAAGTATACCGGTCCAGCATAATATGCTGGAGTTCATACACAAGTGCATCGAACTCCAGTATATTATGTTGGACCGGTCTCTATTGTAGCAAAATAGTAGCTATTTTTCATTGACTTGGTAAACGCTGGCTATTTTTGATTGACCAGTCCGAAAACTGACTATACCGTGCTATTTTTACAATTTGATCTCTTTGGAGGGAGAAACAATACCCAAGAAAAGTTTTAAAAATAATTATGGAACGGAAGAAAGATGGGTCTGATGTTCCTGTCTAATCACGCTGGAGATGGATACAAGTTCTGCACATGGTCGTTTGGCTCAATTGATGAGGATGATTATTAAATATCATAGATGTTGCAACTCAGAAGTTTTGTTCAAAACTATTGGTGTAATTAGCCTCAGTAGAGGTTCTAGGTATACTGCAGCCAAAGATATAGACAAAAATGTTTCAACTTTAAATACACAAAATTATTGGTTTATCAAGTAGTATTTGCAGCAAAATTCATGATTAGAGGTTCATGCTTCATAAGCAAAATTCATAATGTTCAATAGGATTTGGAAGCATAAAAGGAATAGACATTTCGAGCATTCAATATACAAACAACTTTAAAATTCGAACTTCATTTTTGCAGTATAAACTACAGAAATACAAATACCATTATGTGGTTTGAAGCACGATAATAAAGTGCTGATGGAATCTAAGACTTGAGTTCATAATACATTACTGAATAACATATTTACACAATTTAGTATAATGTAGTAAAACCCTTGATCACAGACAACATTCCTGGTATAAGTTCATCTCACAGGTTAGGATTAGTAGTATGGGCAGCAGTCACAGTAGAGACCATGGCATCAACTCCACAGATATTGTGACCCCTGCAAATCTTGTAATATCCATGCTCTCCCCAGTTCTCTCCCCATGAATTCTTGATGATCCAGTAAGCCTTTTCCTTGAGTCTGATAGGAGCAAAGCCATGAGAACCATAACCTACTAAGAGCACTCCGTGATCCTGACGCTTTAAGCAAATCAATGGGCATGAAACTCCTCCGACGTATGTCTGCATCCAAGCAGCATTGATCCCCACTGCATTTTACAGAACAGGAAATAGAGTAAGTTTTGTCGTCTGTTCTCATTCACATTGGGAAAATGAAAAGTTCAAATTGAGACTTTAATGGCTAAATACCTGCAAGAGGACCATGTTTAACCAGGTTGGCAGCAATTTGGTCTTCATCAAGACCAATAACACTGAAGTTAGTTACAGCGGCAGCAATTTTGCTCTTGTCAAAGTGGCACTTGCCATCCTTGCCAGTGTAAGGATAGTCTTTCTCCCGTTGAAGACCTCCAGCTTTAAGGGTATACTCAAAGGCAGTAGTCATAAGACCACCACCGCAACCTGCATCACAAGCATCTTGTTGCTCCGGGTCACACTGCAAAAGGCAAAAACATTGATTTAAGATTACAGGGTAGAACAGATAAATGTAATAAGCGGAAGAAAAAGCAACAATAAAGATCCACAATCAGTTACAATGTTACATCAGCAAGGATTAATGCCTTTGTTCAGTCTCAACTAAATCCCCGACTAGGTTTACTTCTGTCTTTCCATGTTATTTCAACCAAAATTTTAAGAAAAAAAAACTATTTTAATTCAGTGAAGCGCAAATAATGAAGAACAAGGAACATAGAATAATCCTATTTTCTTTCTGTCTTAACCACTGCTCGCAACCCCAATTGTACATACAGGCAAAAAAAGTTTTAATCTTTAATCCTTTCCCACAGTATAAAAACCAAATGGTTTACCCTTTGAAACAGATAAAGTTTTTGCAAGAAACAGAGTCCAACATACAATTTACCCATTATATATGATTTGTTTCAAGAAATTTAACCCATCTAACTAATTTAGGATTGAGTATAATTGTTATGCTGCACCAATAGTATAGATACCTAAAAAGCTGTAATTTTTATCCTTTCCCAATGATTCAGACCTAATTTGCGAACCCCTTAAAACAGATAACTAGCTTGCAAGAAACCTCGATGATATATATACAAAGCTACAATAACAATTTAGCTATCATAAACTCTCAAAGCAACAGCACCAATAAAACATCATTAACCGCACTCCAACATAGATATAAAAACTTAAATAATATTGAACCGATCAAATTTTAAAAGTCAACGGCAAGAAAAAACACGAACCTCATGATCACAGTCCACAAGCTGCTGTTCACTAAGGCTCACCAGCTCTCCCGTCGCTAAAAAGTGAGCTCCTTCCACCGCTCCTGTTGTACTGAACGACCAGCATGAACCGCATGAACCCTATCATAGTCGAATTCAACCACCAATAAATATAAGTGGATAATCAATTAATCATATAGTAGTAGAAAAGTATATCTACAAAAAAAGACCTGATTTTTTACGCCGGTGACGGCGCCGTGTTCACGCCAGTCATAATCAGCTGGAAGATCGGAAGTCGGGAGGATCGGAGCTTTTTCAGCGTTAAGCTTTGGTTTTGGTTTGTGAAGTCCAAGGTAAGTCCGGCGGAACTCCGACGGAGTAAGATCGGAGAACTTTGTAATACCGTGTTCGGCGGAAGGGTCAAGGAGCTGATGATGCCGCGCACGGCGGAGGTTTGCCTTGAATACCTTGAACCTATGGTCATGTTCCTCTTCCGAAGCGTAGATCTTTCCGAACTTTGACTTGAAAAGTGAAAAGTGATGTTCGGCGTTTAACAGATGACTGTCATCGGTTTCAGTTTCGGACACGACTTGTCGGATCAACGGATCCTCGTCGGAGAACGCTATCGCCGACGAGAAAAGTGCGAAAGCGAGAAGAGATAAGAGAAATAGACGATCCATTTGGAGAAAAGATAAAATGAGTAAAGAGGAAGAAAGGAGGATATTTTTTTTCGTTCTTGCTCAGCTAGTTGTGTTTATATTGGCTCCGAGAAAATGGTAGGTGAGTAAATTAGCCGTTGTGATTCCGACACGTTTAACTTTAAACTCATGATACGTGTGCTGCTGGTATTGCATTATCTTATTTGCAAGTTGATAAGAGGACTATTTTAGCAGATAACAACAAAAGAGAGGTTGCTTCTGTTAGTCGCCAATAAGTTTGGGGGTGTACTGTGAAATATCCATTATATCCTTTTCATGAGGTTCCCATTCCAGGGACCCACCTGTGATTTTTTTTAAAAGTATTTTTGCCTTATCTTGAACTTGAAAACTAAAAAAGAATTTTTCCTAATTTATTTCCTTCTAGTGTGGGAAGGAGAAAGCGTCAATAAAATCGAATTTTGCGGGTCAATGATGTAAAATAGGAGGTTTTATGGTAGGATCCTATTAAACTAATCACCACTTCTTCCTATTTTAAAATAAATTCGGGCATATTAAAATGTATTAAGTACGTTGTTATAATGTCAAAATATGTTTAAAATGACATTTTTCATATATTAAGAGAGGAAGAAAAAGTATCATAATTTTAATTTTACCATATTAGCTTACAAAAAGGTTGAAATATGAAGGAACATTTTACACAATGAGGATTTTAAGACAAATAAAAGTAATACAAAATATATTACTCCCTCCGTTTCAATTTATGTGAATCTATTTTCTTTTTGGTCCGTGCCAAAAAGAATGACCCCTTTCCATATTTGGAAACAATTTACCTTTATGCAATGATTTATAGCCCCACAAAATATATGTGCCTCATTTGTTCAAAAGTCTTCTCTCTTTTCTTAAACTCCGTGCCCAGTCAAATGAGTTCACATAAATTGAAACGGAAGAAGTACGTTGTAAGTTTAGCAAGCATGACAAGAATTATAGAAATCTGCATGTTAAGATGGATATGATATTATAAATGATTTTTCCCAAGAAACTATATATGACAAGATTTCAAGCAAGACAAAAGGGGCAAATAATGCTTTTAGATACAAAGGAAAAATAAAAAAGGTCGCATGAAATGATTTCCTCATGTTCTACCTAAATACATCTATCTACATGTGTGATGCTAAGATGATTGAATGTGTTAAAATATGAAGGGGTAAATTTAAAATCAAATGAAAAAATATATACAATCTCTTGCAATATATGAGAATATAGAGAAAAAATACTATACAAGTAAAGTAAAGTGTCGATATATGCAGTATCAACTACTCCATTAGGATTGAGGTATATTGGTACAAATAAATTAGGTATAGTATTTGACATGTGCATGTCCTTTCAGCTTTAGTAAAGATTGTAGGTAGGAAAGAACAGAGGCGGAGTCAGGATTTGAAGCTTGTGGGTTCGAGATTTTAGTTCGTTTACGTACCGGATTCTAAGTTAACAATTTATGCATATTCAATGAATTTCCTTAAGACAAATGCATGTTTTGGATCAAAATTACTAGGTTCAGTCGAACTCGCAAGTCTTATGCTAGCTCGGCCCTGGGAATGTGTTAACGATTTAATCAAAAAATTCTTAATTTGAAGTCGTGTCCTAAAAGAACAAATTATTAAGTATTGAGATAAAATAAGTGAGATGGAGGAGAAAAGATAGTGAGAATTCACATGCCTAACCATTATTAAATGAGAATTGAATAATTATTGTTGTTGTGGCTTTATGTACACGCATATTTAAATCTTTCATAAAACGAACTTATAGAAATTTCAATAGCAACATCAATTGAAAAATTGAATGAAATGTCAAAAGATTAAGGAAAACTTAAAATAGGAGGGGAAATACTTAAAGAGGCACAACGAATATATTTCTTTTTGGTAATTAAACACCTTTATTTACCAAGTAAGAATATGTACAGCTCAAGAGAAGAAAACAAAAGGAACAATGAAGCTAGACATAGTCCTAGACTTCAGACTTCAGCCTCTATCTTCCTACTGCACCCTATAATTCGCTACTGTGTTAAAACACAAAATCAGAAAACTATTAGAAGAATAAAAGAAATTGAAAAACAGTAAAGAATAAGAAATATTCCGAGTCCACAATTTGCTTGTGCGTGAATTTTAACCCCCTCACACGTTGCCAAGGTAATGGATTAAATCCTCCCAGGATGAAACGGAATAAACCTTCCTGCAACAGTGGCAATACAAACTGCAGGATACCAACGAACTCAAAGAACGGAGCAAAATCACACTTACAAATTTGAGAGAGAGAGACTGCGAATTAGAATGCAGTATTTTTAGAAAAAAGGAAGTTTTGTAATTTTTTTTGTTTCAGTGTCTTAAAAACGAAGTCATGCCTCAGAATTATAGGCAATTATTGGAAGAGGTGTGATGTTTGTTCTGGAAAAGGTGTCTATTCAGAAGTTTGCGCGTCCTGCCGCGGTCCCACCACGGTTACGCCAGGACCGCGGCCAGAGTGGCCTTCTGAATCTGCAGCAGTGTTCTGGCGCGGTCCTACCGCGGTCACGCCCGGACAGCGGCTAACTAACTGACATTTAATTTATTATTAAATAATTAATTAAATAAATTTTGTCCAAAAATAATCTTATCGATCGATCATTTGACAAAACCAAATCCAAATCCAAATCCAAAGCCAAAGCCGAAGCCGAGCCGAGCGAGCGACGACAACGGCGCGAGGGTTCATTCTTTTCAACTCCTTTTAAGAGCTTTAAGAAGTGATTCTATATATATACACACAAATGTAGTTGTCCCTCACCAATGAGGGACAAAGTTCAAGACAAAAGCTCACTTCATTCAAATTTTCATTTCCCTCCATTTTATTTCCCACCATTTCCCAATTCACACTCTTAGACTTTAAAACCCAATGCTTAAAGTCTTTGAAGCCCAATGCTTTAAAGTCCAACAATCCCCCACATGAATGGGAATGGCTGTAACAAGAATGATCATAGATGAAAATGTGTGATTTGCAAGTAAGGATTAGTTGCATATGGATAAGTAGGTTTCCCTTTGAACTTTTCGTAGCGAACCTATGTCGGATATACTCGGTCAATCGGTAGATTTGATATCTTTGAACCGTCGAACTTTAGTGTATACCTAGACAACCATATGTCACACAACCAACTCTTAACCGTCTTTTGGTTCTCATTGTTGTGTTCGTTTCAGCCATGAACACCGCCTAGTTTCATAAGTGTGTACAGAATTGGCCTTACAGAATTCTCATTGAAACGGCTTCTACTTCACATTTACATAGGTGATTCCTAAACGTGTAATCCTTTAGATTGACACTATTTGATAAATACCACATCAAACTTAGGTAATCATTAAAGAACGTGTAAAGTTCTATCCTTGTTACTGAACATTGTCTTCATCACGAGAATGGACCAAAGATTTTATTTTGACAATGTTGAACCGGTCAATCACAGCTTTGTTTGAGCTCCTTGAACCTAGATCTCGGAACATCTAAAATTCTAGGTAGAGTTACCGCCATGTTGACTTGTCCTCGGCCATAGTCCCATTCCCTTAGATGATTTCTCAACTCCCTCTCTAGTTAAGCCTTTTGTAAGCGGATCCGCCACATTATCCTTTGATCTTACATAATCAATAGTGATAATTCCACTAGAAAGTAGTTGTCTAACGGTGTTATGTCTTCGTCGTATATGACGAGACTTTTCGTTATACATAACGCTCCCTGCCCGTCCTATTGCAGCCTCACTATCGCAATGTATGCAAATATGAGCCAAAGGTTTTGGCCAGAACGGAATGTCTTCTAAAAAATTCCGAAGCCATTCAGTTTCTTCACCGGCTTTATCCAAAGCTATAAACTCCGATTCCATTGTAGAGCGAGCAATGCACGTTTTTTTGGAAGACTTCCAAGATACTGCTCCTCCACCAACAATAAAAACATATCCACTTGTGGACTTTGTTTCTGTTGAGCCGGTTATCCAATTTGCATCACTATATCTTTCGATAACCGCAGGATATTTATTGTAGTGCAAAGCGTAGTCTTGGGTATATTCCAAATATCCCAGAACTCGTTTCATTGCTACCCAGTGATGTTTGTCGGGATTACTTGTGAATCGACTAAGTTTACTTATCGCACAAGCTATATCAGGTCGTGTACAGTTCATGATGTACATTAAGCTTCCCAACACACGAGCATACTCCAATTGAGACGTACTTTCACCTCTATTCTTTATGAGATGATGACTTCATTAGGCATACCATCTATTATTTCCTCCCGAGGTCGTTTTGACTTTTGGTAGGTCACTTCACTTTCCTTTTTATACGGATAAATAGTTTCAAAGAATTCAGCATTATCTGATTCTATTATCGTATTAACGTGAATCTCTGGATTTTCTGATTTATGAACCAGAAACCGATATGCCTTGCTATTGGTTACATATCCAATAAACACACAATCAACCGTTTTTGGACCTATCTTAACCCTTTTAGGTTTAGGAACTTGTACCTTAGCTAAACACCCCCACACTTTAAAGTATTTCAAGCTAGGCTTCCTTCCTTTCCACTTCTCATAAGGAATGGATTGTGTTTTACTATGAGGTACACGGTTGATTATTCAGTTAGCTGTAAGTATAGCTTCCCCCCAAAAGTTCTGTGGTAAGCCAGAACTTATTAGCAATGCATTCATCATCTCCTTCAACATTCGATTCTTCCTCTCCGCAATTCCATTAGATTGTGGAGAGTAAGGGGCAGTTGTTTGGTGAATAATGTCATTTTCCAAACATATTTCTTCAAAAGGAGATTCATATTCGCCACCCCTATCACTTCTTATCATTTTGATCTTTTTGTTTAGTTGCGTTTCAACTTCACTCTTGTATTGCTTGAAAGCATCAATTGCCTCATCTTTACTATTAAGTAAATAAACATAGCAGTATCTCGTGCTATCGTCAATAAAAGTAATAAAATACTTTTTCCCACCGCGAGATGGTATTGACTTCATGTCGCAAATATCTGTGTGAATTAAGTCTAAAGGACTTGAATTCCTTTCAACGGACTTA